AGCACGGGTGGAGGGAGTGGAGGGCCGTTACGAACGAACAAGCCAAATAGAACACGAATAAACCCAAAATAAACGCAGGCCGAAGCTTCACGTCAAACAGCAGATTGCTCTCCACGAACCCTGGGCGGTGGGACAACGGTCGCGATGAGCCAGTTCGAAGCGAAGCCGAAGCGGGACGGGAAGCCGGGAGGCTGCCCGCTAGCCACGCGTTAACCGACGCCGTTGACGCCTTTCATTTCTCGATATTGATTAATTCTGCGGGGAACAGGGGTTGGTCGGGGTCGAGATTCAAGGTCCTGCACTTACCATTAGCTGTCCGGCAGGTCGATAGCGAAAGGCTGAAGAAGCGAGCACGCCAGTTCGGGCGATCTTCTCTCTGCACAGAAGGCCATGGCCTGGCTTCCTTCACAGCCATCCGTATTTGGGATTTTCTCGCCCCTTGGCAGGGTCTTTTCTTCTGCCGCTGGGATTCGTATAATAATGGCATATATCGATTGACTTTTCTTTCCTCCCTTCCTTTTCCTTTTTGTCGGGTTCTTTTCCTCGTCTCGTCGAGATGGCGGATCTCAACGAGAGCCAGCAGCCGCAACTTCGGCGGGAGACGATTGCGGTGACGGTTCTAGCAGCCGTGTTTGTGATTCTGCGGTTCATTTCTCGGTTCAAGAAGGGTCTCAACTTTGGCATCGATGATTACACGATCGTGCTGGCATTGGTAGGCGGTTCTCGTCTGGTGGAAAAGAGTTTTTTTCAGACCAGACTGACCACGTTTAATAGGTGTTTCTCTTCGCCGATGCGGGTTTCAACCTGGCCTGTAGGACAGTCCATATATCTGCAAGCAGAGAGAGCTTTTGACTAACTCGAGCAGTGGTCCATTTTGGCATGGGGCTGCATGCAGAAATTCTCCCGCCCGAGAATCTGGTGATAATCGGGAAGGTATGTCGGTCCGGTAGCAATTTTGTTTTTTTTTCCAAGACTCGCTCACTTTTCATGTCAGGTCCTCATGTCATATGAATGCGTCTACTGTACCACCGTGGGGATCATCAAGATCTCCATCCTGCTCATGTACTCGCGCATCTTCCCGACCCGGGAGTTTCGCATCGCCGCGTACATCCTGGGCTCCATCGTGGTGTCGTGGGTCATCGCCATCATCTTCGTCAGCGTCTTCCAATGCACGCCCATCGAGAAGACGTGGAACCCGACCATCCCCGGCACCTGCATCAATCTGAAGGGCTCCTTCATCGGGAACGCCATCCCCAACATCCTGACCGATATTGCCATTCTGTCCCTCCCGGTCCGCGTGGTCTGGCGCTTGCATGCCAGTGTCACCCATCGACTGTCGGTGATGTTTGTTTTTCTGTTGGGTAGCTTGTCAGTATTCACCTCAGCCTCTATTGTCCATCCCGTTCTGTTTGCTGACTGTGACAGTGTCGTCTTTACGAGTATTTACCGCTTCACGACGCTGTTCCTTTTCCAGCCCGAGGACTTGTCATGTGAGTACAATCCCATCCCGATTATGCGTTTGGTCTCTTCTCTCTTCTCTTTCTGACTATTTTAGGGACCCTATCAACCGCCTGCACGTGGTGCGTCATCGAATGCGCCAGTGGCATCATCTCCGCCTGCCTCCCGACCCTCCGACCTCTCTTCGTGCTGATCTCGCGCCGATTCGGCAGCAGCAACGCCTCGCGCATGACCCCCGGCGCGCACAGCAATGACGCCCACGCCAGTCTCGGCGGCAAGAACCACGAAAGCGGCTTCCCGCCCTTCCGCCGCCTCAGCGACTCGGCCTTCCGCCCGGCGGACAAGGCGCGCGGCATGCGGATGGACGTGGCCAAGCGGGACGACGAGTCCGGCTCGGGGGACGAAGTGCCCCTGAATACGATCCGCGTGCAGAGGGATATCAAGTGGGAGGCGACGATGCGGGTGGAGGAGCATTAACTGTACATTCATATATACGTCATAAGTTCATGCATATATTTTTCGAGGGACGAGCGTCAGGGGCATTTTATTTACATTGATCCATTCCCTGTGGACGTGGGAGGAAAAGTCGTTTTGGAAGCGTATCTTTATCATGGCATATCTGCTACTTTCTCATAACGTAGCGTGCGGATAGTTAGTTTCTATTGAGGCTGGCCCGCCCTCGTTGAGCGAGGCTTTTTCATTATCTATAACCAAATGGAACATACTTTTCTTTCTTTTTTGATAACTAGTCTTCGCCCATCTGAGGTCTAGATAGAAGCATCAAGCCTCTTACATCTGTCTCAGAGAGCTGTCATATCCTGGACCAGAGGTTCCGAGTCCCTACGTCAAAATAAATGTGACTACAAGAGCAGCCCCGTACTCAGCAAGCTGCATGACGTGGCATAGTACGAAATACATCGAGATTGCTACCTTCAATGGAGCTTAATCGTGGCATTCTTGATAGAACAAAGGCGTCCCCGAAAAGAATGCACTTACGCTCAATCTGATTCGAACCCCCAACCGTTAGGCTTCGCACTGCTCTCACTTATATGGCTTCTTGCCACATCGTCACAGTTGCATGTATAGATTACCATCAGATGTGCTGCTAGCTCCCACATGCACTAGTGTTACACATGCAACAGGGACTTCTTTTCGAAAATCATGGTCACACGTACAGAATTCTGTATGCACCAGAGGGTTCTTCAAAAATTGTGGCTGTGCATATAGAATCTTGTTGGACAGGCCACTGATTTGCACATCCGATGGTCATTGACATGCGGAAATGACACTTTCAAAAATCGTGGTCGGGCACATAGAATATCATCGGACAAGCCAGAGACTTCCATATGCACTAGCATGATTCCCAAAAACGTGGCCAGGCCTACAGAGTCTCGTTGGACAGGCCACTGACTTGCATATGCGCAAGAGGTAATTCTGGAAAACCGTGGTGCGCGTGT